GGAGATAAGTCAAGTTCCTTATGAAGTCGCTTCTTCTCAGAACACTTCGGGGGCTTCGGGGGCTCGTCTGCTTTCTTAGCGGGTTCCCCCGCGCCAGCGGATTCGGCGGGTTCCCCCGCGCCCTTGGGAGAGGATCTGTCTGGCGAAGGCTTCTTCGTGGGACTGTGAAGTGCCATGTTCGTGTTGTACTGGCCTTGCCTTTACAATTCAGTCTGCAACTCCCGTCGAGCAGCTTGACTCGCGCCTTGGAAGTTATCCGTCCAATGCTTCTGCAACGATACGCCGCTATCGCACCTGGTGCCAGGTCCATACCCCCCGTTACTGGAGCACAGATGTCCAAATTAGGACCAGTGGCTTCGCTACTGTAGGACTCACATGAATATTCCAATCCAGACGCAGACTCAGCGGGATCAACAGCTGGCGGGAGGGGGGGGGGGACAGCAGCATCGCCCTTCTTATCACCCTCGGGCTTGTCAACACCTTCGCGAGAGGAAGAAGCGGGTTGCCTCGCAGAAGAGGCCGCTCGCCCATAAGGCACGGCCTCATGGCATCCTCGAATGCGCCGCTTAAGTCGAGGATTAGATTCGAGTCCTCTCCATTCTTGCTCAACGCGTTGTGCCTGATGATCGTCTAGCGGTTGGTAATCATCCTTGATCAAGAAAGCACCTCTGGGATTGTAGGTTGGGCCCACCCGGCGACCCAGGCCACCCCCGTAGGACCAGACCCACGGGGCCCGCTCGAAGTTGGGGCCCCTTGAAGGGCGCCCCATCGGGCAGTTTGGTCCGCGGTCCGCAAAATGCTCGCAGCCACAGACCTGGTCGCGATGCTCAGTCCGATCCGCAATGATGGCTCTTTTGGCGCCCTCCCTTTCCAATGCAGCAGCGGTCTCACTGCCGCCTCTTTCGCTGCTGCGGGCGATGTTGCCTCGGTCTTCCAGCGTCGCATTATGACGCGACCACGAGTGGCGGGCGGCGTGCTCGGTGCATCCTCTGTTCAGCCAGTGCCCCGCGTCTTCCTTTGGCATTTATTGATTGGCGGGCAAGCCCGTCGCTCCGTCCACTGACCAGTCTGCGTTGACGAGGGTCATCGGCTTCACCTGGGCGCTCGTTGCCCCGGTGCGAGTTCCCTCGCGAACGCTCTCTTCTAGACGAATGCATCGGATCACGCGGGCGTGGACGCTGCGCGCCGCTTGAGCGGGCGCGCGAGCGCCTGCGCGAATGACTCCACCCACGACGGCATGGCGGATGGCCCTCAGCCCCCCATTCTTCGCCATCATCAATTCGACATACGCGTCTCCAAACCGGGCGGCTCGAAGACCGGCCGTGCAGCACGAAAGTGAAGCGAGAGCCATTGTGTCCGAATTTGCATTCAACACGCTCAGAAAGGGCGACAGCGCCACGCGGGTTGCCCCGCAGAGGATCGTCGTCACAGGTTTCCCTGCAAATTGTGTCCCCAATCACATGCGGTCGGGGAGCTACTTGAAGCTCTTCCTCCGCAGCTGGGATAATAACATCAGAATCTGCAGGTGCCCCGCCATCTCGCGATCCGAATTGGCAGGCACGTCGCAGTCCTCGATGAACCCCACGCGCGCAGGTTGCCGCGCAGTAGGACTGCCCAGCCAGTCTGCGAGGCCAATCTCATCGCGGCCACGCGATCAACGTCGACATCCTCGAAGAGCTCGCCGGCGCACCTCTCGAGGGGCGCGCCGGCGCTTAGATACCTCGCGGACATGAAAAAGACAGCGGCTGCGGGGCTGCCCCCGGGTTCGGCGGGATGAGCCCCCCCATCGACATACTGAATGTCGGAATCGGTGTGCCAAATGCATCGACGGACCCCTGCCCCCCCCGTCGCCTCGGGGGCGCTCGCGACGAAACTGTTGGATGTGATTGTAGACATCACGTTCCATGGTTGTCCCGACGCCCCTCACCTCGTCCTGCGACGCGTCCACGGCCTCTACCTGCCCCCAGGAACATCTCCTCATTTTGCGGACCCGTGAAGGATGCCAAGAATGCAAGCATACCTCTTCCATGCAATCTCCGTCGTCTACCCTTACCTCTACCCGCACCCATTAACCTGAACGCCCGTCGGACTGCACGTCGCACCCTTCGAACAAGTTTCTTCAGAAAGCGTCGCCAGTGGCGCTTGCGTTTCTGATGTCCTAGGAATAGGCACTGCCCCTGCCGCCGATCGCCCCTGGCGGCTCATGGAGGCGTCCGAAGCTACAATTGTGTATTGAAATCCTTCATTGCGGCCAAGCTCAGATTGAATGCGCTGGGACAAATCGCCAACGTCTCGCGGGTTTCCCCGCAAAGGATCATCATCACTTGATTCCACGTTTGTCAGCTTTCCAATAACCTGAGGATAAAGCATCAACTGCATTTCGTCCTCTGTCGCAGGGATAGTGGCTTCTGAATCCGCGGGCGCCCCCGCCATTACGTCATCTCCTTCGGCGGGCACGTGGAAATCTCGACAAACTCAATATCTGCAGGTTGCCCCGCGATGGGCATGCCCAGCCAGTCTGCCAGACAGAGATCATTGTGGCCAGTGAATACCTCCTCGAACAGCTCGTTGGCGCAATTCTCGAGGGACATACTGGCACTCAAATATCTGGCAGCCATGATGTTAACAACTGCAGCTGAGCTATCGGCAGGGTCAGCTAAAAGTGGCCCCCAGTCAACATACTGCATGTCAGAGTCAGTTTGAGCCAGATGCATCGACGGACCTCTGCCCCCCCCATCGCCCTTAGGGCATTCGCGGCGAAAGTGCTGCGTGCTATGGCATACGTCGCACTCCATAGTTTACCATTGGCATCCTTCGGGTTTCCCCGACGTCCCTTACCCTTCCCTGATGCACGCCTACGATTCCTTGCCCGCACCTAGGAATATCTCTTCATACTGTGGCCTGGTATGGGGGCGCTAGAAATGCGAATATGCCTCTGCCGCGCAATCGCCGACGCTTACCTTTTCCCTTATCTCGACCCTTGCCTTTTCCCCTGAATGCGCGTCGGGCGATACGCCGTACCTTACGGACTGGCCCCTTTCATGAATCGCCTCCATCTGCGCGTATGTTTCTGGTATCCTAAGAATTACCATTGCGCCTGCTGCTCTTCCGTGAGGTATGTAGGCATATCGGAGTAGTCAAGGGCGGTGACCTCGTCGTCCGAAGACGCGTCGGCGTCAGTACCGGAGTCGAAGTCGGACTCGGCAGGTTGCCCCCCGCTGAGCCCATTAGGGCCGCGGCTTGCGCAGAGGAGACCGCTTCGGGCGGCCCCCGAAACCTCGCCCTGGAGTCTTGCGACCCCGAGGCCGATCCACCATTCTGAGCCAGTAGTGTGGTGGTCTCAGTCGGTTGTGGATCGCCATTCCAAACATGATTGGCAGGTTGCCCCGCGTTTGCTTCCACGCGGAAGGTCTCGGTTCGGTGACCGTGACTGAAAATACCACCAATATTGCCTGGGGTTCTCTCAGCAATGTGTGCATATGACCTCGCGCGTTCAAGTAGCGCGTCAAACTGTTGCTGGTCTTTCGGCATGTGGCGGTTTAGTGGTTGCAGGAGTTGCTGTGCACGCGATACCCCCACTCCAAGAGCTCTGAATAAAATAACTGTTAAGATATGGAAGTTGGGGATGTTAAAGCCTGCCGCTTCAGCTGCATAGCGGGCTATCTCGAAGCGCGCCAACGCATGGTCGATTCGGTCTCCCGCATGGACTCGGAAGGCAATGAGTGCTGTACCAAGAGTTGAGTTGGCACTCCTCTTGTAAATTCTCGAACTTCGTGCTTAAGAGGAACATGATGTAGGTGGCGCCGTCGGTATGGCGGCCACCTATGTTAACGCCGAGACTGATAACTGCTGGGGGGGCTCTCATGGCTATGGTCCGTGCGAGGCCTCCCAAACCTCGCTGCAGAGCAGCAGCTTGTTGGGAGGGCGTCATGTTGCCTGTGGTCACGTTGATCCAGGCATGCACCTCGCGGGCGAATTCGCGAAAAGGTACCTGGCCGGCAGGGCCCCAATGAGGGCCGGTCCTTCCTGCGTCGTCTCCGCCACGCATACGCCCTACCGCACACCCGATAACGACCCACGCGAGCCCAAAGATAGCAACACCCATCCAATGGCCTCGCAGGTCGTGGTCGGATATCATCGGTTGGGATTTCCGATGTGTGGTCGTTGCGTGGGGGTGGAATCGGCACCGTATCGTATCGCATATTTCCACGCGTTATGTTTTCGAACAAATTTCCTTTTGAAGTAGGTGGGTGGACTTCAGGAGTGAAGTAGCGCAGGGATGTAGAGCGAAAGTAAGAAGCCTCCGCGTAAGCAGAGGTGTCACAGCAAGTGTCCTTGCTATACTGCGTAGTTATTTACATTCCTCCGCGCAAACCCACTGCACCCTGATGTTCCACCACGTATGTTGTCCACCAGATAGTGCCGTGGATGGTGAGGGGTAGAGCAAGAGCTGACCACCATAGGCCAGCTCCGCTACCAAGTGTGAACCCAACCAACAGCTTCGCCTTAGGCGAAGCCAAGCTCCCGCTCTGTTGTACCGCAGTAACGATAGTCCCAGTAGTATGGGGAGAGCCATCTCAAGCAATATTTTGGTATCGATGGCAAATAGTACACCTCCTCCCAAGAGGGCCCAAGAGTGCCCCCAGAGGCTCCCAAGATGTCCCCTCCTCCTCCTCCTGAACTTCCCCGCCACCCTTCCCCAAGTGTTCCCCGAAGGGTTTCTACAACGGCTGGGGGAACACATGGCCGATTGCTTGGCAGAACTCTTGCCACAACGCTCGGCCACATGGGCGATTCCAAAACGCAGGGGGCAGCGGTGATTCGCCGTAGGCGTCTTCGATAGCGAGTACAACACCACCAGGCCCCCAGGCCCGTTTTGGGCCAAACCGCATCTTGGTATACCTTCTGATCCTGCGTCGCAAACGAGCGTGACCACGTACATGTTCATTCCTCAAAGTAGATCCTCTAGAGGCCTGTGTCGGTTTGTGGGTCTGTCAAAGACTGGTTGAAAAGAAGCCTAGAGGGAAGGGTGAAGAGCCCCATGGGCCGATGCCACCAGGAATTCGTGACATCAGAGGGGAAACTGGATGGGCTTCTGGCTAGGCCAGGAGGCCATGTGTACCAAGACCTGGCTCGAAGTGTGCCTGAGCTGCACTGCTGGTGATGAATATTTACATTCCGTGGAGTGCGGAGCTCCACGAGCATCCCAACCGCTCTCTCACGACGTCTGGGCCAAGCAGTCTCAATCCTCGCCGCTACTCGGGGTTTCGTCATCCTCGCTCTCGACTGCGGTCTCCGCATGCTTCTCAACGATGTCGGTCGTCTCCTTCTCGTCCGCGTCGATATCACCGCCCTCGGTGAGGTTCTTGTCACCCTTCTCATCGACCTCGATCGTCTCGTTCTCGTCTGCGTCAATATCGCCCTTCTCTGTGGCGTTGCCGTCGTCCTCCTCGGCGCCGGCGGCCGTGGCGTTCTCGGCGCCGACGTCGGCCGCCTCCTCGCCCTCGGTGGCGTTCTGCCCCGCGTCCAGGCCGCCCGCGGCCGCGTCGTCCTCGCCGCTCGCGGTCGCCTTTCCCAGCTGGCCGTCCTCCCAGACGATCGTCTCGCGCTGCCACGCGCGCTTGTGTACGTTCCAGGCGATGTGGTTCGTGTCCTTCGGGGCGTTCGCCCCGTTGGCGTGGGCCTGGATGTTGAACTTGCTCCTCACGAAGGCCGTCCCGTTGTGGAAGGACCAGAACTTGGTATCCCTGGGGCACTGGGCTTCCATGGCAGCGAACCCAAAGGCGTAATTGACTCTGTAGTCCGCCCCGAGCGCCCAGGCCATAGTCTGCTGCATGAAAAACAGATACACTGGTGCGCGTCTCCAGTCGCTGTCCATGTTAAGGTAAATGGGCCGTCCGCCGTTGAACTTCCGGGACGGGAGAGAGGTCTTCACGTACACGCCCGCAAGCGAAACCAATTGGGGGTTTGGGGCCCACATCTTCAAAGTTGCAGGGCACTCCTGGCAGGTCTCGAAGTTGTTCCCTTTGGCAGCCTTCTGTTTCTCCCTTCCTGTCATCAAGTGCGGGTGGCAGCAGGACCCCGTGTTCTTGAGCTGATCCTGGAGCCCTGTCGAGAGGCTTCTGCTGTACCTGCGGATGTCGCAGTAGTACTCGGACCACTTCCCGCAGGACCTCGGGCGGTTCCCCAAAAAAACAACTCGACGACTAGTGGGGCGAAAGGGCGGGAGTGACCCAGGAAGGGACTTCGACCTGGAATGCGCGGCTCATGATCGATGGATCGGCGAAGGACCCCTTTTTCGAAACCGCGTGTTCTTGAGGGATGAGCTGATGGGCCTGGAGGAGGAGGAGGACGACGACGAGGGGGACCTCCTCCCCCCTCCAACGTATGGCGGTGGTGGTGGTGGAAACCAGGCCCGTCATGAACGGGCGAGTGGGTCTCGATGTTCCTCCACGTGGTCCAACCCCCCCTCTTGTGGGCCCCCTGAACGACGACCCCCTTCAATGACGACTCCGTTTGCTATCTCTACAGACTCGGGCAAAACCACATTCGAGTCGCGAGCTCCCAGGAAGTTGCGGCAAACATTCGGAGGGCTCTCCCCCCCGAGGGAGGGCGAGGGGAGAGCGGGAGCGAGAGGGGCGAGGACAAGCCAGGTGCGCTCGCGCCACATCAGACAGCCGATCCATCCCTCCCATCCTTTCCAACTGCACTGGTTCGTCTCTATCCGCGGCCGCGTGTCAATGCGGACCTGGAGCTCCAGAAGAGGCCCCAATGTGCTGCGCGGCGCAATCGGAAACGGGGAGCTGCGTACATAGGAGAAGGAGGTGGCGGATGGGGAGGGGAGATGGTGGATGAGAAAGATGTTATGCACTCCTCGATGTGTGCGTGCCGTCCTTGCGCAGGGGCCATGCTACTTCTCTGTATCGTCCCGATTTTAACGGATAATCCCCGAAGGGAATCCAAGGAGGACGAGGAGGATGAGCGCGAGAAAAAGGAGGAACTTGAGGAAGGAGAAGGGGGGCGAACAGCAGCAGCAGCAGCAGCAGCAGCAGGAGCAAGAGTGGAAGGGGAGTGGGAGGAGCAGGAGAACCAAGGGAAAGCGGAGGACAGGAAAGGAGGGGGGCGACAATGACGAGAGATGACTCGGATCCAGAGGAGTGGCCCGCGCTGTCGCGAGAGCGCCTTCCTGGGCGACAGGAGCAGAGCCGCGATCCTAAAGTGAGGCCCACGCTGCAGCGGCGGCACGATGTTGAAAGGACCGAGAACGTTCATATTAAAAAAAGCAAATACGAAAGATCAACCTGCCGACATCATGCGTAAATAACCTGACACCTGACGCTGACAGTAGGCGGACACTCTCGGGACATTCGGGGGGGGGGGGCAAGAAGAAGGGGAGAAATAACGAGGCGGTAGGAGGCGGAAGCCGCGGCCGCACAAGAACCTCGCATCCTGATGTTTAACGACGCGATCCTGTCTGGGGTTGACCTCTCAGAACACTGTTACTGATCCTCATCCTGGCGACATCGACGACGAGGGCAGGTCCCCCCCCCCAATAGGACCCGAAATTCGTGTGCATGCAGGCCAGAGCGGGGGCACCAGGACGCCGCACGAGCTCGAGCAGCCGCCTCTCGGCGAAGGGCGGCAGCGAAGGACGAGGAGGAGCGAGGAAGAGGGGGGGGAGAGGGAGGGAGGAAGCAGGAGAAAGGCGGACGAGGAAGGTGGAAGGAGGAAGGAGGAAGGAGGAAGAGAAGGAGAAGGAGGAGGAGGAGGAGGAGGAGGAGGAGGACGACGACTGACGAGGGAGAACAGGAGGAGAGGGGCAGGGGAGCAAGGGGGAAGAAGGACGTGTGCAGCGATCCCTGGAGCAACCTACGTAAATTTCTGCACCTCGCTGCGCGAGCATCACTAAGACCCACAATCTGGAGCCACCCACAGGCCTCCGCTGACCTCTGGAGGCCTCCGCACACATCTGGAGGCCAGGAGTCATCTTCCCCTCTCCACCTCCTACGCATTCTCCTTCTCCTCCTCCTCCTCCGCCTCCTTCTCCTCCTCCTCCTCTTCCTCCTCCTCCTCCTCCGCCTCCGCCTCCTCCTCCTCCTCCTCCTCCTCCTCCTCCTCGTGCTGCACCTGCCTCCTCTTCATCATAACCATCAACATCACAACTACCAACGTCATCGTCATCGTCATCGTCATCGTCATCATCATCATCATCATCATCATCATCATCATCATCATCAGCATCATCATCATCATCAGCATCATCAGCATCATCATCATCATCATCATCATCATCATCATCATCACCATCATCATCATCATCATCATCATCATCATCATCATCATCATCATCGTCATCATCATCATCATCATCACCATCATCATCAGCATCATCATCATCAGCATCATCAGTATCGTCATCATCATCATCATCATCATCGTCATCACCATCATCATCAGAATGGTCTTCATCATCGACAGCATCATCATCATCATCATCAGCATCATCATCGTCATCATCATCAATTTCATCATCAGCATCACCATCATCATCATCATCATCATCGTCATCATCAGCATCTGCAGCATCATCATCATGATCATCATAATCATCATCATCATCATCATCATCATCAACATCATCATCTGCATCCTAATCAGCATCATCAGCAGCAGCACCATCATCATCAGCATCATCATCTGCATCGTCATCATCGTCATCGGTATCATGATCAGCATGATCATCGCCATCATCACCATCAGCATCAGCATCATCGTCATACGTCTCATCATCACCATCATCATGAGCAGCATCATCATCATTAGGATCATTACCATCATCATCGTCATCGTCATCATCATAATCATCATCATCAGCATCATTATGATCGCCACCACCACCACAGCCACCACGCCACCATCATCATCATCATCATCATCATCATCATCATCATCATCATCATCGTCATCATCATCATCATCATCATCATCATCATCAGCATCATCATCATCGTCATCGTCATCATCGTACTCATCATCAGCATCATCATCATCATCAGCATCATCAGTATCAGCATCAGCATCATCATCCTAATCAGCATTAGCATCAGCATCATCATCATCATCTTCATCTGCATCATCATCATCGTCGCCGTCGTCATCAACATCATCCATCACAATCACCATAACCATCACCATCACCTTCACCTCTGTCACCATCATCAGCAGCATCATCACTATGATCATCATCATCATCATCATCATCATCATCATCATCATCATCATCATCATCATCATCATCGTCATCATCATCATTATCAGCATCATCAGCATCATAATCATCACCACCACCACAACCACAACCGCCACCATCATCATCATCATCAGCAGCAGCTTCAGCATCAGCATCAGCATCGTCATCATCAGCATCAGCAGCATCATCATCATCATCATCATCATCATCATCTGCATCCTCATCGTCATCAGCGTCATCATCATTTGCACCATCATCATCATCATCAGCAACATCATCGCTGTCATCATCATCGTCGTCGTCATCGCCATCACCATCGTCATGAGCATCAGCATCATCAGCATCAGCAGCATCATCATCAGCATCAGAATCATCATCGTCATCCTAATCAGCGTCATCATCATCATCATCATAATCATCATCATCATCATCATCATCATCACCATCACCATCATCATAATCAGTATCAGCATCATCATGCTAATCAGCATCATCATCATCGTCAGTTTCATCATCATCGTCGTCATCGTCGCCGTCGTCATCATATCATCATACTCATCACTACCATCATCATCAGCAGCATCGTCATCATTGGCAGCATAATCGTCAGCAGCATCATCAGCACCATCAGAAGTAGCCGCATCATCGTCATCGACATCATCATCATCATCATCATCATCATCATCATCATCATCAGCATCAGCATCATCATTATAATCATCATCATCATCATCATCGTCATCATCATCGTCATCATCATATTCATCATCATCGTCGTCGTCGCCGTCGGCATCATAACATCATCATCATAATTACCACCATTATCATCATTAGCAGCATGATCATCAGAAGCATCATCAGCATTATCAGAAGCAGCAGCATCATCGTCATCGGTACCATCAGCATCCTAATAATCATCATCAGCATCAGCATCACCACCACTTGCATCATCGTCATCATCATCATCATTATCATCATCGTCATCATCATCATCAACAGCATCAGCATCAGCATCCTCAGTATTACCATAATCGTCATCAGCAATAGCATCATCATCATAATCAGTATCAGCATGATCAACATCATCAGCATCACCATCATCATAGTCATTCTCAGCACCGCCATCACTACAAGCACTCCTCATCCTCCCTCCTGAGGGCGCTGGAATTCGTAGTAGGATCGAAATGTGATGGACAGGAAAAAAAGGAGGAGGAAGAGGACGACGACGACGACAACGACCGCGACTGCGCCGAGCCCCCGCAGCCGCCTCTTTGCCGAGGTGGGCTTCGGATGGCCAGTGAAGTGGGCGATCACGGCGTTCTTGCTGCAGTGGTGCTCGCACGGCTTTGTCTGGCCTGGCAGTGAGGGGGGATCGAGGATCGACGACCCGAGGTTTGCAACGTGTCTGCCATTCTGCTGGGAGATCCAACGCCTCCAGAAGCTTCAAAAGGCCTCCAGGAAACCCTGGAGGCGTCTGGGGGGGGGGGTTCTCCGCAGGTCTCTGGAGTTCCCGCGGAGTCCCCGAAGGCCACCCAAGGCCTCCCATGGGTGCCCCGATGGTTGTCCCATTGGTTGCCCCGATGGTTGTCCCGATGGTTGCCCCGATGGTTGTCCCGATGGTTGTTTCCATGGGTGTCCAGATGGGTGTCCCGATGGTGTCCCGATAGTTGTCGCGATGGTTGTCCCGATGGTTGTCCCGATGGTTGTCCCGATGGTATCCCGATGGTGGATACAAAGAAAGAGATATGAATAGATGGATCGAGAAATGAATAGATAGATGGATAGATAGATGGATAGAGGAATAGATATATATATATATATATATATATAATATATATATCGATACATAGGTAGGCGCTTCGATAGATAAATAAACAGACAGATAGATACATACATATAAGACCAATATATTGACATATATATATATAGAAAACTGACACACGGACACCATGACCACCACCACGCCATCACCACCACTTCACCACCATCATTCCGAAGGCATTTGCGCTCAAGCCGTTTCGTTTTGGATAGGGCTGCCAGAAATCAAGGGGGGCCAGGGCCAGGCTCTGCCAGCCCTGAACCCTACGGCGGCTCACGATATGCGCCCTACGGCGGCTCATTCTCTTCCTCCTCAGAAGCCACACCGCCGTGCCTGGGTCGCGGGGCCATAAGCCTTACCGATGTGCCTGGGTCGTGGGCCAGCAGCCTCACCGACGTGCCTGGGTCGTAGGTTCTGAGCACGTGAATTTTCTGAGTCTCGCGTTGCTGGTCGAGATGTTGGACAGAATTCGGGAGTGAAGAATTTTCATGCGCACGTGTATCCCTGCACTCGACATGCACGCGCACCGACATGGGGAGATGGCATTGGTTTCCCGAGGCGTTGCCTGGGAATTCGGGAGATGCTACAGCAATGCGACATAGAGGGACCAAGTGCATGCACCGACTCTGCCATCATTATCCGCTTCTGGTCTCGCTGCCGCACATCCTTTTGCAGATTAGTAGGAACAGCGGGGGAGCGACGAAAACAGCGGGTCAGTGCGAATGGTCTCTTTCGAGATCCGAATGGAGGACCGCTGGCGCGACAGGGAGCCTTGCCGGCGCGACTCGGAAGCTCTCTCGGGTGCGTTTCAAAAACACGTCGGGGCCCCATGGGGGCTCTCGAAAAAACGGCCCAAGGCCCAACGGGCTCTTTCAAAAACAGCCCCGGGCCACAGGAGGCTCTATTAAAAACAGGCCAGGGCCCCGGGGGGCTCTTGAACATGTAATGCACATGCACAACATGTATCACGCACCGGCAATTTCTCGACATAGTAACACGCGATCAACAGCAGGGGGTGGGCAAATAAATACCACCCACTTCCGCTTGCTGCCCAAAGGCACGGGGCAGGCAAATAAATGCCACCCGTTATCGCCAGTTGCGCAACAACGCTACAAACAATGAAATAAATGCCGGCTACTCCTGCCTGCCGCCACCAAAGGGCGCGCGGGCAAATAAATGCGACTCGCTTGCTCCGGGCGCAAAGAACACGCACAGGCAGATAAAAACCACCCACTTCCGCTTGCTGCCCAAAAGCAAGGGGCCGGCAAATAAATGCCACCCGTTATCGCCAGTTGCGCACCAGCGTGAATACAAGAATAAATACCACTTGCTCGCGTCTGCCGCCGCCAAAGAGCGCGCGGGCATAGAAATGCCCCTCACTTGCACCTGGCGCAAGGAACACGCGCAAGCAAAAAAATACCACCGACTTCCACTTCCGGACACAAAACAAAGCACCGGCAAATAGACGCAAACTGCTATATCCAGTTGCGCAACAGCGTGGCTACAAGCAGGAGAACGTCATGTACCCTTGCCTCCCGCCGCCCAAGAGTGCGCGGGCAAATGAATGCCACTCACGTGCTCCTGGCGCAAAGAGCACGCCCGGGCGAAGAAATACCACCCACTTCCGCTTGCTGCCCAAAAGCAAGGGGCAGGCAACTGAACCCCATCTGCACTCGCCAGTTGCGCAACAGCGCGGGCACTAGCAAATCAACGACACATACTCCTGCCTGCCGCCGCCACAGAGTGCGCGGGCAAATACATGATATTCACTTGATCCCGGCGCAAAGAATACGCACGGGCGCAAAAATACCTTCCACTTCCGATTCCCGCCAAAAAACTTGCAAGCGCACGCAAGTGCCAGCTTTCATCGCCGCTCTCGACTCTCATTTTTCTCTCCGACCGCATCACTGCCACCGCCACCATAAAAACTGCAGCAGCTATCACCAGTTGTACGCGCAGCATTTGCGGCCCAAGCAGGCCAGCGCAACCACCCGCGGGGGCGCTCGTCGAGATGGCCGGGCACGGCTCGGGCGCGGGCTCGGGCCAGGCTCTGCCAGCCCCCAACGTGCTCGACATGATCGAACAGGAGCTCATGGGGCACGCGAAGAGCCTCGGCTTAGAAACTCGCCGCAGAGGGCCCGATGCTGGGGGAAGAAGAAGAAGAAATATTTATTTGAAAAAACTCCTGCCGGAATGTAGAGGACGTGCGGCGCGACTGCGCAGAGCGGGCCCGGTCTCTGGTGGGCCCGCCGCAGTCGGCAGCAGGCGCCGCGGGCGGCGGCGCTGCCTCGGGCCAGCAGTTGTCTGCTGCTGGGGAGATGTCATCTGGCGACGTCAGGAGCGCACCCGACGCCGCGCCGCCGGCCGACTTCAGGTCACGCGGCGACGCGCTGGGCGCTACAGACGCCCCGACGCAAACTGCTCCAGCGCTGCCACGGCCGGGGGGGCCCCCCCGCCGCGCAGGCGGGGCAGACTTGCTTGCGGCTGACTCCGGTGGTTTACCTGGCCGGCAGGGGGAGGTGGAGTTACGACGGGCAGCGGCCGCGCTGCATGTTCGGACGCACGGGCCGAGAACCAACGCACAGCTCGAAGAGGCCTGCCAGCGCGCTGCAGCATCGCAGGTGACACTGGCCCGCCTCGCGCGCACGCCGGGGCAAGCGCGGGCGCCCATCTCAGATAGTGGGCACAGCGCGATCGCGCTAGCGCCAGTCTCTGACTGCGCGAGAGCACGCGCGACGGCGAGGCCCAGGGCTACGCGAGCTCACACTAGAAGCGCCGAGAAGGCCCGGGGGCAGAACTCGGAGTGGAAGGCGCAGAGGAAGGCGCGGGAGCACGACCCGCAGAGGACGGCGCGGGAGCAGCTCCCGAAGAGGACGGCGCAGCAGCAGAAGCGGGAGCAGAACCAGAAGCGGAAGGCGCGGAAGCAGAACCCGAAGAGGAAGGCGCAGAGGACGGCGCGGGAGCAGATCCCGAAGAGAAGGCCCCAGAAAAGAAGGCCGTGGGCCGCAGACGCTACGATTGACCAGAAGAGGCTGACCACGCGACGCACTCGGCGGGAGAGTCAAGCCCCATCGCGGCTCGGGCTGGCGCGGTCTGCGCCGAGAGTGCTCGCGCGCACGGGCCAGAGGTCGCGCCCAAAGCTATCGCGCGGGCGCGGGCAGCGCTGGGCAGCGCGGGGCATGCGAGCGCGAAGGTCCAGAGCACCTACCGCCCGCATACGCGGCTCCCAACGTCCGCTCCTGTTTGGCGATCACTGGGCAGATGCGCGAATGCATGGAACTGCGCGGGTGGGCGACGCGCGCGGTGCGCTGGCGCGCTTGGTGCGACTTGCTTCTGGACTACCACTTCGACGAGCTTCTCCTCGGCGCCAGCGCGTCGCCCACGTCCTGGTTCGCATTGGCCGACAGCGCCATTGCGGGGGCGCGCAGGTGGGGCGCCGACAACCAGCGGCGTCTGGGGGGCGCCGGCTCCGCGGCGGAGATGCGCCGATGCCTGGCAGCGAATTGCTCTCCAGATGTCTCTGCAGCTGTTCTCGGCCGGGCGCGCTGCCCGGCCAGGCGTCGCCCTGTAGCGATCTGCCACGGCAGCCGAGGACACGTCGGCGATGGCGGAACTTTTGCCCCCGCTAGCGACGAGATGCGCCCGCGCGACTACGCGGCGGACCCTGCGCGCTGCTGGGCGGGGCCGGGAGGGCGCAAGGTCGCGCGCGAGCGCCGCCAGGCCCTGCTAGCGACACCACATCTTGCTCGGTGCTCGGATACATCAAGAGCGAGTTCGCGCCTGCGGTGGCCGCGCTAACAGATCACGAAGAGATGGCGATCGCCCTCACTCACACGCGCGTCCATGTGCATACCCTCCCTCGGGCGGGTCAGCTCGCGCACGCGGGGCACATGTGCAACTTCCTGCAGCATGCGTTCACGTTCCTGGCGAGCCTGCCACTTATGCCGTCCGACATGCCGTTTGTCACGCTTCGCCCGCGGGCGTGCAGGGGCAGGGGCAGGCGCCTCCTGCCTCCGGCGCTTGCTCTCGCCGGCGGATGCAACTCACGCGCGCCAAGGCCACCGCGGGGGGCTCCGGCCACGCGATCGGGAGGCGCGTGCTGGACATGGCACTCGAGGAGGTGGGAGAAGCGGACACTCTGCCGCCATCGGCCGCTGCGGCAAGAGGCTCTGCCAGCGCTGGACACGGCGCCCCTCATGTCTGGGACTTGATGCGCCGCGCTGCGGCTGAAGTGCTCGAGCAACGCATCCCCCGGGTGGCAACCTCGCTCCCGCGGGATGTGCTCGCGGCGATTCTTTCGGCGCGCGGGGCCATGGACCTCGGCCTGCCCCAGGACCAATGCGCCCAGCACGTCCCGCGTGCGCCGCGGACAATCGACGCCGACGCCTGCCCTCATGAGCTATCCACGTTCCGCAGCGAGGTGGACGCTGTCATTCTGGAGGCTGGAGCTGGCAGAGCAGGAGACATCCGCCGCGGCGCACGCCGGCGCCACCGCGGCCGGAGGAGTCGGCGACGACGTGGATCTACCAGAGAGCACCGTGGACAACTTGCTCGCCGCCGCGGCAGAGGAGCTCCAGGGGTGCGACGGCGCAGCGCCGCCCTCGAGCACCGCGCCCGAAGCAGCTCCCGGCGCGGCCGCGCAGGAGCCCGACGCCGCCGCGCCAGTCCCTGGCAGCGCAGCGCCCTGCGCCGCCGCGCCGTTGCATCTGATGGGGCGCAGACCCGAGAGTGGACCCTCCTGCGGACTCACTGGGGCGAGCTACGGGGCTGGCGACTACCACGGGGACCAAGCTTACCTGCGCCGCGCGTCGCGCTTCGTGGAATGGGGCAATCTCTGATAGCGCTGCGACTAGGTCCGCCGGCTCCTCCTAGCCGTGGCGCCAGGTGCCCATGCACTCCTCCAAAAGCGTCTCCAGGGATGCGACCTACCTGACCTCGACTCCAGGTCGAGCGCCCACCCCTGTGGCGCAGCCTGGCAGCAGCCACGAGCTGCGCCCCCGGTGGCCTGGACGGCGCCCAAAGCCCAGCTGCGCCAGTCACGGCGCGAGCCTTGGCGAACTGGGCCTCGACCTCCTGGGCGTGCAGACGGCGGAAGGACTCCACGACGAGGACTGCCGAGATGCCGCAGCGGCCACCGCAAGGTGCGCGCCCCCTCTGTGCCCCGCAACGCCTCGCACGCGGCCCTGCGCCTGCACGGGACAGCGCGCCTGCAAAACCGTGCCGAAAGCGCCGTATCGCTTCCCAGATCTCCCATCCCTCCCTCCCTCCCTCCCTCCCTCCCTCCCTCCCTCCCTCCTCTCCTCCTCCTCCTCCTCTCCTCCTCCTCCTCCTCCTCCTCCTCCTCCTCCTCCTCCTCCTCATCATCATCATCATCATCATCATCATCATCATCATCATCATCATCATCATCATCATCATTATCATTATTAGTATTATTAGCATTATCATCAACATCATATTCCTCCCCTGACCTCTGCGGTCGAATACTGTTTTCCAAGACGGGGTCCTAAAAGACCCGAGACCATCCCAGGAGCCGTTCGCTCATCCAGAGCGGCAAATCATCCGTTGATATACTTCCTCCCACTGCTTCGCCCAAGCTCATGCAATCCTCATCCTCAATATCCTCGTCCTCCGCCGTATCATTTTCCTCTTCTGAACGGCTTCCTCCCCATCCTCCTCCCCATCCTCGCCCTCCGCCCCGCTCTCATCCTCGTTTCTCTTCCTACCTCTTCTACCTGCGCCTCCTCGCCCGCCTCCTCCCTGCTCCCTCGTCCCTCCTCGTCCGCCTCCTCATCGGCCTTGCCTGCCGCCCTTGCCGTCTCTGGCAGAACCTCCCACGTCGGGGAGGAGGATCCATCGGAACAAAACGCTCGGAAAACCGAAGACGGAGCGCCACGACGCTGTGGCGTCGCCAGAAGAGGGGCACAAAAAGTGGCACAAACATAAAAACTCGGAGGTCCGCGCGGACTTCTCGGATCGGCGCTGGACCCCCCTCCCTGGCGCACGGAGCGCGCCAGGGGCGGCGCCGGAGGCGCCGCCGGGGGGCCCCAGCGCCGATCCGAGAAATCCGCGCGGACCTCCGAGTTGTTATGTTTATGTCACTTGTTGTTCCCCTAGTGTGCTCAGTGCTCCGCGCCGTGGCGGGGATGGAGTCCGAAACAGTTGCTATGTTCATGTCACTCTTTGTTCCCCTAATGTGCTCAGTACTCCGCGCCGTGGCAGGGATGGAGTCCGAAACATTTGCTATGTTCATGCCACTCTTTGTTCCCTTAATGAGGGCGCCGCAGCGTGCCAGGACCTCGCGACGGGGAGCCCCGCCGCGGCGCTCCTGCCTCACCAGGGAAGGGGGGGCGTAGGGCGCGGAGCAGGGCCGGGCAGGCACACCACGGGCCAGCAGGGCCTGGGATCGGGGAGAAGGGAACCCACACTCTCTCCAGACACTGTTTCGTACAGGGGAGGTTTTAATACATGGGATTTGTTTGAAAAACCAAAGAAACGAATGGGAATTTTTAATACATGCTTAATGTATGAATAAATTAATGCATAAACTCATCCTTGTATTGATTATTCAACCCTCTATCTTTAATACATGGTCCGCACGCAGAGCATGTATTATAAACGGCACTGTAGTAGAGGCTCGATGATAAAGAAGCACATCGTCACGGCAAGTCTGCCGCAGCGGCGGTGCCGTCGCGCAGACCCACGGCGCGAGTCCAGAAGTGCGATGGACACCCCAGGGAATCAGATATTTGAAATGATGCTCGTAGTGATTCGGTATGGCATTCGCTTTCGCTGAATCCACACACAAACACACACACACACCCTCTCCAGGCCTATACTAGGGGAAGAGACAATGACATACACGTAAACACTCCGAGGTCCGCGCGGATATTTCTAGATGACGCGCCGGGGCCCCCCTGGCAGCGCCCCCGTCGCCGCCCCTGGCGCCTTCCGCACGCCAGGGAGTGGGGTCCGGCGCCGATCCGAGAAATCCGCCAGCGGACCTCCGAGTTTTACGTCCGTGTCGTCGCTTGCCCGCCGACTATACATACATACATACATACATACATACATACATACATACATACATACATACGTACGTACGTACGTACGTACGTACGTACGTACGTACGCACATACATGCATACATGCATGCATGCATACATGCAAACACACATACATGCATACAAACATACATACATATATGCATGCATACATACAGACAGACAGACATACAAACACGCATGCGTACATACGTACGTACATACATGCAATGTACGTACATACATGCACATACACACATAGACATACATACATACATCAATGCATGAATACATGCATCCATACACACATACATGCATGCATACATACATGCAGACATGTATACATGCGTACATGCATACATGCATACATGCATGCAAACAAGCAAACAAACAAACATATATACGTACGCACGTACGTACATACATACATACACGCATACATACATGCATACATACATACATGTACACATACATGCACGCATGCATGATTGCATACATACATACATACATACATACATACATGCATGCATGCATACATACATACATACATACATACATACATACATACATGCATGCATGCATGCATGCATGCATACATACATACATACATGCATACATACATACATACATACATACATGCATACGTGCAAACATACAAACATGCATACATGCATACATACATGCATACATGCATACATACATAAATACACGCATGCATGCATACATACATGCATGCACGCATGCACTCATGCATACATACATACATACATACATACATGCAGACACATACATACATACATACATACATACATACATACATACATACATACATACATACATACATACATACATGCATGCATGCATGCATATATACATGCATGCATACATATATACATACATACGTGCATGCATACAGACATACATGCATGCATGCATATGTACATACATGCATACATACAGGCATGCATGCATACATACATACATATATACGCATAATATAATATATATATATAATATATATATATATATATATATTATATATATATATGCACATACTGGTCGGAAGAAGAGCAGGGGCAGAATGAGGAGGCGCCAGAGATAGGCCGTGCTCGGGCCCACCCCTGGAGAGGGGAAGGTCCGAGGCGGGACCCGCCGCCGCCAGCCCGTCGAAGGGCAAGGCACACCGCGAACGCCGCCGCGACCGCCCGGCTGCACGGTTTCCTCCGGAGCCGTAGGCGACCCGAGGAGGGGGAGGAGGAGGAGGAGGAGGAGGAGGAGGAGGAGGAGGAGGAGGAGGAGAAGAAGAAGGGGGGGGAGGAGGAGGAGGAGGAGGAGGAGAGGAGGAGGAGGAGGAGGAGGAGGAGGAGGAGGAGAAGGGGAGGAGGAGGAGAAGGGAGGAGGAGGAGGAGGAGGAGGAGGAGGACGACGACGAGGAGGACGACGACGAGGAGGACGAGGAGGAGGAGAAGGGAGGAGGACGGGTCGCCGAAGCCCTTCGGAGAAACCCTCCAGGCCCGGCGGGGGGGCTCCCCCCTCCCACCGCGCCCGCGGCCGCCTCCAGGGCGCCCGCGCGCACGGCCGCGCCCCGAGCCGAGCCGCCGAGATCCGACGCCGCCCGCCGCCCCCGAGGCCACCTGCTGCCGCGCGAGGCGGCGGAGACGGTGCCGCCCGAGCGAGACGGCGGCCGTGGGCAAGGTAACCTACACAACAGACTAAAGCTACCCAAAATGCCAAGGGAAACCCACGCCGATCATGAGGTGCTGTATCATGGTGTAGCAAAACTGCTGGGCCGAATGCAGTCCAGTGACTGCGGATGTTCGGCAAGGCCGACTCCAAAGCGGAGGCCTGAAGCTCAAGCCGAGGCCGATTCTGCCGAGCGAGGCCTGAGCTTATGTTGCTCCCATCGTACTTTAAGGACCACATCCCAGAACTAATCTCGAGCACCCAGAGAAGCATCGAAGCAGAATCGAACGAGAATACCGCCTCCCGGGGCCCGACGCGCGAAAGCCGCTCAACTTTCGGGTACCTTCGTGGTGCTCGAAATTCTGTCTGGTGGTCAGGGCTAAAGCAGGTTGGAAGCTCGTAAGCCTGAGCCAGAGGTGGCCTCTGAGAGGGGCAGCGGCAGCGGCACCAGCGCTGGCCAGGTGCAGGCCAGGGCCAGCAACCCTCCCGCCCCCAGGGCCTGGCTGGATGCCCACCGTGTCCACGCAATTGAACATGCGGTCGATCGGGAAGATCTTGCCTGAGAGGAGCACAACCCACCCTCGTGGTGCTCTTCGTGTCCCGCCAGGTTTGACGTGAGGCCCCGCCTTCTTTTGCCCCCCCCCTTGCTAATTAAAGCTGTGCGCGGCCCGCTCAGCTTCTGTCGGAAGAGGCTCGCTCTCGACCCGCGGATCAAAGAAAGTCCCGCCAGGTTTGGCGGGTGATTGGTAGCGGGGGTCCTCAAAAGCCAAGACACTTTTCCTCCTCCGATCGCCTTTGTAGTAATCATTGATCAGGGTCTGGTCAAGGATCTGCTCCCGCCGGCGCTGCGAGACCATGACTAACATCGCCTTAAAGACCTCGAGGTCCGGCTTGAAGACCATCACCCCACTGTTGAACTCGTCCTTGCAGCCGTCCTTCGCCATTGCGATGTGGTCAACGGTGGGCAGCTTCAATTCGGACACCAAATAATTGACGCGGTTCCTAAAAATGTATGTGTCCGAGTCCATGAACAACACCCGCTTAAAGGGCAAGCGGAAAGCATTAATCTTCTCGAAACTATCATGCCAACGCCCCAAAAACTCCTGCTCGCAGCCTTCCCCGCAATACTCCTTGTCCCAGTCCGGTACAGTGACCAACTTCCACCCAGCGTTTCTAAGGAGGCGCTGGTTCTTCGAGTTCATGCCATCAATGATCATGGCCACCCTGACGTATTCCGGCAGGTACTTCTGGATGGACATGCCCAGCATCACCGCCCCATCGAGGTATTCTGCGTTCTTCCTGCCTGCAAATGTGACGACGGCCGTGTGGTGATGAGGATACTGTATACCCCTCATGGGGAGTACGAACGACACGTTTTCAATCCACCCTGGCGTAAGGCGGCTGGACATACCGCTCTGAGCACGGATAGCAAAGCTCTGGCAGACATCGACGACGCCCACCAACGCAAGCACCAGAAGCCGTGAGAAGTCCATGGAATTTGAGGTTTCGCGCGCAACTGGCACGAGCAAAGAATCTTTTGTGGAGTGTTGGTTTGTGCCGTCTTGCGAACCGCCGCAATCGGCTTCGGCGCAAACGGCTTCGGAAACGTAGCGGCGGCGCTGACTTCACAGCCGGCTCGCTGAGTTCGCAGCGAGAACAAAATCCGAGCCCATATATCTGAACCGAACAACCACCGCACCTGACCAATACCCCATTTGGGCGCACTCTTGTTCTCCATCCCCTGTCCCTCGTCTCTGAGGACAACGACCCTGGCGCCAACCCCAACGCTCTGGCTACAACGGTCCGCTGGCCAAGATGCTGGATCACCAAACCGCGGATAATACCCCCCAGAAATCAACATGCGTATTGAAGAATTTCTTCAAAAATGGCGACCATTCGGCTCTGATGTGTGTTTGTTGTCATGAACTCCGCGCGGACTATCGAAAGTGTGTGATATGCGACTGATTATTCAAACATCGGAGTCGAACCAGATCGGGCCCGCCGAAAACCGATGTTGGCGGCGAGCGAGGGGGAGAGAAGGAGAAGGTTTTCTCAAAGACGGCGGGACTTCTTAGAAGCTCTCGCGCCTTCTGAGAAGTCTTCTGTGCCTTCGGGGAAGGCCTAAAACTTCACTGAAGGCCGGGGGACTTCCGAGCCTTCTGAGAAGGCCTTCTCCTTCTCACTCTGATCGGCCCCGGTCTTTGAGCAAGAATTCAAGCTCTGCATGGAAGATCGGATGCGAACCAACCCAGAGGGGATCCTCGGGAACTCTGATGGCCGATATTTACGGAAGGAAGCAACCACTAAGAACAGGTCAGACACGTCCCCCATCATATTAGCCGCCCCAATGACAGAGCACGCGACAGGGGGTAAAGGCGCGATTGGCGGGGTAGAGACGGTCGAGGCGGCGCGCACGCAACAGCGCCCCAGCGCGAATCCCCCGACGCGCGAGGCCAAGCTGGCGCATTTCAGCCCAGCGAGGGACTACCCGAACCAAAAAAATGTCACGTAGGTTCTGGCCCTCATGACGCCACCAAGAGCCATCGCCACACTGCCCCCCATCTTCCTCCAGAGCAAAATTGAAATCACCCCAATCAAAACCAGAGCATTCCCCGCGTCTTTGGGCGCCTCTTCGATATACCGTAGAGAAAGAAAGAAAGTCGACGCGGGCACGCCACAGGAAGGGGAGCGAGCATCGAACACCCCAAAGAGATCCTTTTGGACCAACACAGGCGATCACAGAATTCTTGGAGGATCAAAAACAGAGCGCCGAATGTCCGCGAAAGGGGGGCGGACAGGGGAGGGTAAGACGGTGAGAACTCCATCGGCAATCTCAGAAGCACGCCCAGCTCCACGAAGGTGGTGACGCAATTCATCCGCATCTCCACCAGCCCCATGGGTTTCTTACAGACAGGGAACGTTAGTTCAACGAGAGTGTACCAAGAGCGTCTTGCACCGCGGTGATGCAAGCAGGGAAGAGGAGATGATGGCACCGATGAGCCCCCAGGCGTTCCAAGTGAAAGCCCAGGGAGAGGCACAAAGCAAAGGGATAGATGGATAGACATTTCAAATGGCGCGCCCCCGCCGTTGTGAGGGGCACTGCTGGAATCACCCGCCTCCGACCCCTAGCTTCTAGAAAAACTATGGACAGAAGCGAAGCCCTCTGATTCAACCAAATGCTTCAACAAAACCGGGCCCAAGGCCAAAGAGGGACTAGGGCGACCTAGCCAGACTGGCTCATCTTCAAAAGGGGCGCGACGGAACCGGTGAAAACGTGTCCTTGGATTTCTGCACGGCTCTCGGCCCGGCGCACGGGTGCCAGCATCACCCCAGGACATGTGAATGACCTGGGGGTTCTGCGGGCAGCAAGAAACATGAAACAGCGGGACGGGGTCCTCCCTCTAGCGCGCCCCGGAGAGATCCCCACCAGCGCCGTTCGAACTAGCCTTGGGACCCTGGTTTCTCGGTTCTTCCTGGGCAGCATGACGGACTCCACCCATCTTCAAGAACAACAAACGCTGCTGACAAGACACACTGCGACGAACACAAAGCGGCCACACATCAGCAGGGCCCCGAGAAGTGGTCATCTGGTACGCCTCACGGAGCTTCCGAGAATTATCAGAGAAGTCAGACGCCATGGCTGGGGAGGGGAAGTCCACGTGATTTCGACTGGAGGTCAGCAGCACAGATGCGAATCAGCCTTCCTGCTGCCCCTGTTGCACACTCTGATCTAATGTCCTGAGCCACTCGTTCAAGGGTCTGTGCCACGAGGCGATCCTGAAGCCCAGAATGAAGAGCCGAGGAGCATCTTCGAGCGAAGCCGAGCTTCCCCCTGGTACGCCTCTCAAAACACGCGAAAAAAACATCCGTCGCAAGCCGCTCTGAGACGCGGGACTCGTACAGGCAGCCATCTGTTGAGCGTGCTCAACTGCATCCAGCCGAACCTGAACCACACTCTGCGTAGCACGGATGTCATCGAACCTGGATAATGGTGTTGGTTATGATGATGATGGCGGTAATGAAATGGTGTTGTTGATGATGATGGTGATGATGATCATCATCATCATGATGATGATGATGATGATGGTGATGGTGATGGTGGCGATGATGAAGATGAACATGAACATGATGGCGGAGATGGTGGGGAGGATGATGATGATGATGATGAGGAGGAGGATGAGGATGAGGATGAGGATGAGGATGAGGATGAGGATGAGGATGAGGATGAGGATGAGGATGATGATGATGATGATGATGATGAGTTCAGAAGCACCCGAGTCATTATACTTGACGGTTCTGGGGCCCAGCGAGGCCCCCCAGAGGCCGACAACGTTCAAAAGCTTCTCGTGGATATTGTTTCACGACGAGAGAAGGGTCAGATGTTCGCACGACCAGACCAGACAATGGTTAGAAAGAAACTCACGGAAGCTTGTGGTTGGTCCCCTCGGCGCCCACTAGAAACCCAACCGCTTGGGGATTTCCCAGAAGGGCTCGGAGGCTTTTCAGACGCCCTCTCGGAAGCCCGGAGGGCTTCTCTAAGAAGCCCCCCCTGCCCTCTGAGGGCACCCTCGATCGCCCCACCCACGTCTGCGCGCCGCCAGAAGGAGGTGGCGTGTCTGCACCAGAGGTTGTCGGATCGAGGATCGAAGGGTGTGGTTTTTGGACGTGCTCGGCCTTGCACTGTCCACCTCAAGACGCCCCTGGAGGTCTCCAGGGGCCTCGACTGGCCTCTTGACGCCTCCAGAGACCTCAAGAGACCCAGACCTCCGATGACGGGAGCTTCTCGACGCAGAACACCACACGTTTTCTTGTATGATTTCTGGCCGTTTGTCCTCGAAGGCGCCTTTTACCACAACTCGCTGCCATCACAAATACGACTGCCAACGGGCATAAAAGACGCTGGGGGACCGCATGCGAACCCTACCCCTACCCCCCACGATTTCTGAGGGGGAGGGTGGGGTTCACTTCGTTCAGGAGCTCGCGAGCGAAATGAACCCCACCCTCCCCCTCAGAACTCGTGGGGGGTAGGGGTATGGTTCGCATGTGGCCCCCTAGACGCGTGCGATGCTCCGTGTGAGTTTTGGTTGCGGAGCACGACACGTTTCTCATTGCGCTCGTCGATTTCGGCTTCGAGAGGAGGAGGAGGAGGAGAAAGAGGAGGAAGCCCGCTTCGGACCCCGCGACAAGCCAGACCCCGACCCAGAAAAAACATGCCCGCCCGGCCCCAGCAGCGGAGGCGGAGGCAGCGAGCCCATGGCCTCCGCGGCGAGGGCCCGGGCGAGCGCCCGGCTCGGGCGGCAGGCCGGGAGCACAAGACGGGCTTGGGTCTGTCGGCGGGGAGACGGGGAAGAGGCGGTGATGGCTGGCTGGAGTCAGGCAGGTCGAGGGATGAGCGGACTGGGGGCCAAGTCTGGGCAGCCCTCTGGGTACACATGGTCTAACAAGACGTATCCCTTTTCTCTTCACAGACCTCCTTCCCCGCTGGACGGAAGAGTTAGACGCGCCCAAAATGGTCCAAACTGGCGATGCTGCAAGATGGCCTCCAAGACGCTCAAGATCGCCGGAGATGCTTCAAAGTAGCTTCCGACATACCTCCGAAGGCCCGAGACGGCCCTGAGTGCCGTCGGAGCCCCCCGTGAACCCCTCAAAGAGGCCAAAATCCATTTTAAAAGAACCGAGGGACAAATCTATGCACGTAGACTTGCGTTCTCGCCTTTGGGCTTCCGACGGGCTTCTGAGACCTCAAGATGGCCCCAAGATGCCCCAAGAGAGTCCCAAAGGAGTCCCACGAAGGGCTCCAAGGGAGCCCGAAAGCGCCCCGAGAGCGCCCCAAGAGGGCCCCAGCAGGCAATTGTTCTGCCTCCGAGAGGGGGGGAACCGTACCCATCGGTCGGATGAAGTAGGTAGAAACATGAAGTAGGAAGGCGTTGGAAATAGATTGGGTTTCCGCCCGCCTCCTGAAGAGGAGGGAAGCGGGAAAACCACGCGATTCTTGAAGTAGGAAGGCGCTGACAGCATATTGGAATCTGGGAATCCAAAAATGCCTACTTTCAACGACCGATGGGCACTTGAGAACCACCCTGCTTTGATCGACGGCCCCCAGAGGGGCCCAAGATGCCCACAAGACGGCCCAACAAAAGAGCGCGCAGGAGGCTCCCCTGAGCGACCCAGGAGGGCCCTGGAGACCCCCCGAGGAGGCCACCGAGGGAGCCCCCAAGAGGGCCGCCAGGGTCTCTAAGAGGGCTC